AGGGTCTGCTTTTCCTCGAGCCCTGGGCCCCAGTTCCGGGCGGAAAAAGCACGAACTCAGACGGAAGCAACGCGGATTCAATTAGGCTTCCGGTCTGCTTCCCTTCGAAAATAATAAAGAAAAAAAAATTGGAAAGTAAAAATTCAAAATGCTGACCTGAACTGTTGCGTATCACTTAGGGGTCCTGAAACAAAACTACGCTTGATGTTAAATGCCTTGGGCCGGTCTTTTTTTTCTGCCAAAAATATTTTTTTGAAGATTGTAACCCTGCAGACGAACTCGTTTTGTGCATTTGCTGAATTTAGACACAGCTGATGAGTAGAACCTGGATTATTCGAGATATGATTCCGAATTCGGGCGCAATCGTTAATAGAACGGATAATCTGGATTTTTAAAAAACTGGTTTAATTTCCCCCGGATCGACTTGCATTTATTTCCATTTTTAAGAATCAGCTTCGAGATCATAAAAGTCAGCCTTATAATTTTTTTAAAACTGAGAAAGCATAATCTCCTGATAATTAATAAGATGAGCAAAAATTGATAACAAAAATGGAATTTAGAAGAAAAATTCGGCAGGGCATCTAGGAAATGTTTTTGCTGCGCACAATTCTGTGGGAATGCCAATGATATCACATCAAGTCGTCAAAGAAAATCGTTCGATAACAGATGATTAAAAAAATTTTGAATTGCGTGTGAGCCATCCATTCATCATCCACAAAAATTGAATATATCTTGCCCTGAGATTGCAGAACTTTTCTAGCCTTCTTTTTTCGGAAAGAAACCTCCGTTCGGAACAGAAATCCCAAATCGCTGACCGAGGAAAACGGGAAAAGTTTCCCGAACATCTCTGAAATCTGTAATTTTTCTTGAAAAGTGAGATTGAAGTTTCTAAGCGAAAGGTTGATCGTTTTTGTGATCTTAGGTACTTGGACTTTTCTCAATCTTCTTCTCAATCACACTGAAAAAATTTGCCTTTGCCCTGGACGCCGGGTTGCTCGCAATGAAGCACGTTGTCTATCCTCGGATTGCTAATTTGTTGTCTTGGTTCACCCGTCGCTGGTAAATTTAATTCTTGCCAAATTGAAATAAAATAATTTCTTATAGGATTTACGCTATCATTTTCCATCAGGCGAATGCGTTTTCATCAATCCCAGGACCGACTTTCCGACGAGGAATTTATATTGAGCGGTATACAGGAAACGAAGGAAGGATTGGAGAAACTCCGTTTATCGTGCTCAGCACCAGGTGTCGCATGGTGGCAAATCCTCTCACGACTCGAAGAAAAAGACAGGTGCAACTACTGTATATAAATATAGATTTTCAAAAATCAATCCACGAAGAAAGATTTAATATTCACCCTCAATATATTAATTCAGGTTCCTTGCATTCATGTGCACCGGGGCTCACGTAACTGAAGCCGAAATCCAGTCACATTACGACGAGTTCGTTGCTGGTGGCAACGGAATAGAGCCGATTTCTCGCGCTGAAATATCTTCTGATGTGCAAATCTCCGCGGAAAAATCACGCGGATTTCAGGAAGGAACTTCAGATTTTTCGAAACCGGATGAGAAATATACACACACTGCTGTAGTTGCGACAAAGGCAGAGCGTCAGAAGTACGTATTAAAGAAGCTTAATTTTTTGCCGTCCACTTGTCATTTTATCTTGTTATTTCCTGTAATGGATGAACGAAATTCAGAAGACCAGAAAAATTAATTGTAAGGACAATTTTGACGTAGTTAACCCCCATAATTTGGAAAGAAAACTC